GGTAGAAGTATACTTGTTTACGGACGGAGAGAGTATAGATGCAGCCAGTGGAGCAGCGCGCACGGCTGGGCGATGTCGTCGTCGTGGTGCAGTGTAGGGGCTACGTCCATCATGACATCGTGCACCGTTACACCTTCCGCCTGGCTCAGGCATCCAAGCTGTACCTACAGCTCCAGCAAGTAGAGCGCGCCCATCAGCCGCACCGCCGTGTGCGAGGCGGACCTCGTGGCCACGCACACCACCACCGCCTCCTGCCCCACAATCTGTACCTTCACGACATCATCGCTGGCCTGGTGGCACTCCGGAGCTCGCCATGGCCGAGCATGATCTGCTGGCATGGTCCTATACTCCTACATACTCAAGCGGAGGGGAGGAAAGGGAAACGGATGGCCAGCACCGCTACACCGGAAGGGAAGATGGGGTTCTGGTGGTGAAGGCTCCTTCGAGGTACGTGCCAGCAACGAGCGGGTCAGGGAGGAGAGGACGACCGCAGGCTTCCTAGGCTGAGCGTCGGCCGTCAAGAGAATCCTGAAAAACATTTATATACGCGTCACATCACGCCAAAACACATCGAAGATCATCTATATTAAACTAAAACATAGATAAAAGCTAGAACTAATTTGACGTCGGCGGCAGCGGCTCACGACTTGACGTTGAGGTACTACTCGGTCGCTGATGGGTAAAGAATGTTAGCGAGCTCATACTCCTCCTTCGCCGCCTCGAGTCGGGCGGCGTTGCCATCTTTACCATCCGCCACCGCGTCCTTCGCCGGCTCGAGATCGATCTTCGTCAGCCTCTTAGTGATTGGTAAAAGTTGGTCGCCGAGCTCGAGGAAGCGAGCCCACGCGCTGGCCACCGTTGCGAGAGAGTAGGCCGTATTCACGTGCCTGCGTCGAACGTCACGGTTAGACAACGGCCCGGGTGAAGCTGCAGGCCTTCGCGTCGTGCTGGGTGCGCTTGCGTGGCGGCGATCCCCTTCCTTCGCCTCGGCCACCATGCTCGTGTGCCCCTCCCGCCATGGATCTGAACGAAATGGACGGCGCGCCGTGGAATCTTCCACCGGAGATTGGAAAGGGAGGCGGCGGAGGAGAAAGAAGAAACAAATGAAATGAAGTATGCGAACCCTAAATCACCTCGCGGCCGGCAGATATAACTGCTCGGGGTCGGTTTTGTTGGTCACTCGTATATTTTTTTACTAGCCAGGCCAAATATACAACATTTGTTCAGGTCCCAAACATGCAAATACGTTAAATCCTCCGAAAATATCCGGGTTGGCGCCCACCTTCCACCGCCGAATACCACCGGACAAAAATGCTTGTTGGCCAGGAGCCAAATAACAAATAACCAAGTCGCTACGTGCACCCACTCGTGTACCCAGCCAGATCGTAGACGAATTAACGGTCAGCTTCTCATTGGCCAGATTTAGCCTGTAAAAAAAACTCTAAAAAACAACAAAAAAGAATCCTATCTATATATAGTATATGTAGTATTACGTTCTAATTCGGGAGCGCATGCAGGAGGTGTCCGAGCCGCCGCTTCTCCCGCCACTTCTCCAGGATCTCCAACCCACCTAGAGCTCTATATAAGCAACGACCGTTCCTGCGCTTCACGTGCTCTTCTCCCAGTCATTCATATCCGCCATCCTTCTCAATTCTTATCGAAATTCGGTAAATTCCCAAACACCCCGCTCCTTCTCCCGGATATCATTTTACATCTTCCGTTTGGTGTGAACAAAAAGAGGGGGTTACTTTTCTTTCTCTCTCCATTGGTTGTTCATTTGGAAGGAAATTCATGGGTGGTGGGATTGTAGGACAATGGCGGAAGGCAAGAAGGATTCTCCGAAGCTGAACCAGCGGATGGTATCATCTCTCTCGAAGCGAACTGCCGCGGCACATTCTTGGCATGATCTGGAGATAGGTAAATACATAATCCTACTGTCTTGCCTTCCATCAAAATTCTTTGCCCCGATCGGGATTCAAAGTGTATTTCTGAAGGTTCATATATAATCTGATGCATAATTTCTCCAAACTCTAGGACCTGAAGCCCCTCTGATCTTCAACGCCGTAAGCATCTTGACATACTCTATTGCCTTGGCACGCTGTGTAAATTACAGCAAATAGCTCAGATGCATCATAGCCTTGCATGAATTTAGGTTGTTGAGATCACAAAGGGGAGCAAAGTCAAGTATGAACTTGACAAGAAGACTGGGATGATAAAGGTGCGCGCACACATTCCCCACTTTCAGCTTGGTGTGGTGTCTGACAAGAAAGCTAAAAAAAATCCTCTTCACAATGGAGAACATGAAAATTAAGCTATTTCTGTAGGTTGACAGGATTCTGTACTCGTCCGTAGTCTACCCACATAACTACGGCTTCGTACCACGGACGCTGTGTGAAGATGGAGATCCAATTGACGTCTTGGTCCTGATGCAGGTGAGTTTTGCATTACTGATTTCAAGTTTATGCAACTCACAAGGTGATGCACATTGTGTCCGAGAATCGGAGAATGTCTTATGTGTTCTGACTAACCTACACCTTCACAGGAACCAGTCATACCTGGTTGCTTTCTTCGAGCTAAGGCTATTGGGCTGATGCCTATGATTGACCAGGCAAGACAGTTTTTTTAAGAGTTTCATTTATGAATAGAGTATATCAATCTCACATTATGTCTGCTTGATACTGTGATTACTTTTTGGAACAAAAAGGGTGAGAAAGATGATAAGCTCATTGCTGTTTGCGTTGATGATCCCGAGTACCGTCATCTCAACGACCTTAAGGAGCTCTCTCCCCACCGCCTTGCTGAAATCCGCCGCTTCTTCGAAGATTGTACACTCTGTTTCCTCACATATTATCGGATTTACGCCAACCATAGCGACATAAATGGTTTACTTAAATGCTTAGTTTATTTGATGTTATGCATCTGCAGACAAGAAGAATGAGAACAAGGAGGTTGCTGTGAACGACTTCTTGCCACCGGAGACTGCACAGGCTGCCATTAAGCACTCGATGTGAGTTGTTTCTGAAATAGCTTTACAGGGTTATCTATCAGCAATTAGTAATGCAGATGTATTTCAGAGGCATGCCTCCACATTATAATGAGATGCAAACTGACACTATCTACAGTTAAAACATGTTTATGTTAGTATATAAGGATGTCTACAGAAGCTAATTCAACATACATTACCTGATTGAAGACAAATTTGTAGTTAAAGCATACTCACTTTGTTCCAATTATTTGATGCTCTAGCTTTGCACAAAGTCAAACTTCTAAACATTTAACGAAGTGTATAAGAAAATATGCTAATATCTACAACATCAAATATATATAGTACAATATAAAAATATATTTTATGATGAATCTAATGAATGCAAATTGGTATAGTATATGTTGATATTATAGACTTCGTCAAGCTTATTTTTTTTTGACTTAGAACAAAGTTGCAACTTTAAAATAACTTCGAACAGAGAGAGTACAAATATTATTATTAACCATTGTGCCGCTGTTTCAGGGACCTATACGCAGAATATATCCTGCAGAGTCTGAGGAACTAATCATAGTTGCAAACTCGCAAGGCTGCAGAAACCACCAACATGGTCTCGTAAAAGGACAATAATCGACTGCATGGATTTTATTTAAGGACCCATTTTTCTATATATTTAAATAATGGGACAATGTTATTCCCATACATATTTTTCTGCAGAACATTGTAATCAAGGACTAATGTTATACTTGTGTATAGTGTTCCGTAATATTTGAATCAACACTTGAAACATTTAGTCTTGCCCTGTCGGCCTGAATTTCAAAATAATTATTTGGAAAAGACGATTGCCAGTCTTCAAGCAAAGTAGTTAACACCTTTGTGTGTGTATGACTTTGAAGTGCATGGTGTGTGCTCCGGAGCGTGAACTTTATTCATATGTAGTACATGTGAGTACCATCCGAGTCCCGGAGGTGCAGTGTGATTGTTCAGATTATATACATGCGTAAGAGCAACTCCACAAGGTCGCTGTATCGGGCCAATTGGCATAATAACCGCCGAAAAGGACACTCTAGCAGAGACGCCATCCTATCACGGGTCACCGTAATTCATGGAGGGCCTTTGTATTCAGTCCACAAGCCTTCATATTTAGAGGATAGGGGAAGTTGGTTTGGAGGGTGCGTCATCTACCAACCGCTTACGTGGGAGGGAAGTTTCACCTCCATCGTCAGACTCCTGCAAGGCCTATCTCCTCTTCCAGCCAATGGCGCAGATGGCCATGGCATTGGGAAACCTGTTAGCTAATTGTCCGCCACGTGCCAACTTCCTCACCACCACCGCCCATAGCCTCCACTTTCTCACCACCGCCGCGCATAGCCTCTACTTTCCTCACCGCCACCGCCCATAGCCTCCACTTTCTCACCACCGCCGCCCATAGCCTCTACTTTCCTCACCGCCACCGCCCATAGCCTCCACTTTCTCACCACCGCCGCCCATAGCCTCTACTTTCCTCACCGCCGCCCACAAGATACACTGATGTTTTCGGTGGACATGGCAGCATGCGGCTAGCACAATGAGGTCGATGTTGTTGGTCAGTAAGCGGAGAACAGGATTGTGGAGCTCTATGGTTGTCACCACAAACGATCGAGCAACGGCGGAGCCGCCATCATCAAATGTGTCATCGAAAAGAATAAGGTTAGAAAGATCCCGTAGGTGGTATGGGGCCTCAAAAGAATAAGGTTAGAAAGATCAAGTGTTTAACCACCTGGAATTTTGAGAGCCGTCTTTGTCACGATCAGTCCATACGTCACTCTGTACGCCATGGAGCAGAAGTGCTGTACGTCGGACTACTTACCATGCCTATATAACGCATTGCCGTTCGTATTACAGCAACGGGGCAAATTAACCTGGTGCACAGACCAACAGAGCAGACACGTAAAGTGAGGTAGAAAATCGTGAGCTGGTCACCCGCGCCACGTAACGTGCCACCAGTTTGACGGCAGGCCGCTTGGGTTTTGTTGCCATGGCAGCAAACGCGGTGCCTTCCGAGACGGCGCCGGCGCCGCTCCCGCTGGACGGCCGCGTCGCGCTCGTCACGGGCGGCTCGCGCGGCATCGGCCGGGAGGTGTCCTCCCACCTGGCCGCCCTCGGCGCGCGCGTCCTGATCAACTACGCGTCGGACTCGGCCAGCGCCGCCGCGCTCACCTTGGAGCTCAACTCGCGCGGCGGCGGCGGCGGCCTCCGCGCCGTGGCGGCCCAGGCCGACGTGTCCGACCCGGCCGCCGTGCGCGCGCTCTTCGACCGCGCCGAGGAGGCCTTCGGCTCCCCGCCGCACGTCGTGGTCGCCTGCGCTGGGCTGCTCAACCCCAAGTACCCGGCGCTCGCCGACACCACCGTGGAGGACTTCGACGCCATGTTCGCGGTGAACGTGCGCGGGACGTTCCTGGTGTGCCGCGAGGCGGCCAACCGCGTGCCGGCCGGCGGCGGCGGCCGCATCGTGACCTTCTCGTCGTCCATCATGGGCACGCTCCTGCCGGGCTACGCGGCGTACACGGCGACCAACGGCGCCGTGGAGGCCATGACGAGGATCCTGGCGAAGGAGGTGGCGGCCAAGGGGATCACGGCCAACGTGGTGGCCCCGGGGCCCGTGCGCACGGAGCTGTTCCTCGCCGGCAAGGACAAGGCGTTCCTAAAGAGGGTGGAGGCACAGTCCATGGGGCGCATCGCCGAGACGACGGACGTGGCACCGGTGGTGGCGTTCCTGGCCAGCGACGCCGCCGGCTGGGTGAACGGTCAGGTCATCAGGGTCAATGGCGGGTTCGCGTGAGCTACTAAAATTTACTCCTAGTTTGGTTTTTTTTAGAGAGAAATTTAGCTTGGGGTATGCTAGTAAGCGACTACTTACTACTCCTAATACTTATATGATACGGGGCCTTCTCGGGGTGCTTGTACCATTGGTGTTCTTTAATACTTCCTTCGTTCCAAAATAAGTGTCTTAACTTTATACTAATTTTAGTATAAAGTTGTATTAAGGTCATGACATTTATTTTAGGACGGAGGAAGTATATGATATGGGGCCTTCTTCACAAAAAAGTGATATCTATCATTTGTAATGCTTTGCATACTACAAAAAGTTATATGTTTTTTGTACCACTTTTTTTGTTTTGTGTATCAGATCAGATAGTACACATAGTTGATTTTTCAAAATCCATGCAGCTGAAGTGAATTTCAATTATTTGTCGTCTATTACTGGCTACCTTTTTTATACGTGTGAAATTCGACATGCCTTATGCTTACATATGCAACCAATAAAAATAAATAAACGCCCATGACAATGCACGGGCACTTTATTAGTTAATATTTGTTTTTAAGTCACGTTTGGCGCATGCTAGTGTTTTTTTTCTTTGTTTGTGTGGGCTTTGGTTGTGTTCTGTTTTTTTTCTTATGGTGGTGTTGGGCTTGTTGTTGTTTTCGGATGTTAACGGCTGCCGCCATTTTTTTTTTGTTGCCTTTTGGTTTGGGAAATTATGAGGAAAAAAACTCTTAAGTACTCCGCTGTTCATAAATATAAGATGTTTTTAATATTGTAATATAGACTCCATAAAAATAACTAAATAAACACACTAAATTGTGTATATATATCTGTTTCAGAAAAAAGGTAGAACATCTTATGTTTGTGAACGGAGGAAGTATAAGATATGCCTACCACGGACGAGACAATGTGCCACTTTGGAAGATATATGCTAAGCATGAGATAAATATGCAACCCACAATGTACTTGACAAACAGAGTCTTGGCTTATTGGTTAGGCATGCGGTTGTGTAGCCTGACCATCCGGATTTAATACCTAAAATTTACAGCTGATGCACAGAGGTTTTTGGTTAGTTATTAAGGGTCAAGCCTGATATGTGGCTCAGACAAAAATCTTGAAGGACCAGACTTTATATGTGGTGTGACTACACTTCAAGATAAAACTTAGTACTCATACTAAAAAGATTTGTGTGCATGATTAACATGGCAATGGATACCCGCTACCATGAAACGGATAAAAACCCTACTCCCTCCGTTCTATATTAGTTGTCGCTCCAACGGATATATCTAGCACTGAAATACATCTAGATACATTTATTTCAGAGACAACTAATATGGAACGGAGAAAGTATTAGGTATAAGGGTTATGGAAAGTTAAATACCCATGGGTTTTTAAAGGAAAAAATGTACACAACGGATAAACTAGATTGTTTTTGGTGTTGGGTGCTTGTGAGCTGTCGTTTCTGGGCTACTTTTATTCTCCTGTGTCCTGGCGCTTGTGCAGGTCTTCTCGGGTAGCAGCTGGCTTATCACTCTTTTCTGGTAGTTGGTCCAGCCTGGTGGTAGTTTGTTAGTAGGGTGTTTCTGTTTATTTTTTTCTGTAATGCCAACAGACCGTATTTACACTATATCTAATAATAATAATAATAATAATAATAATAATAATAATAATAATCTTTACTTAATAATAAAGCAAATTTGATTTCGGTCGTCCGTCATGGCATTTTTTAGAAAAGTCTCTCCATTTCAGAGAATTCAACCCGCAGTCCTGTTTTAAGTTAAAATGAATCGTTTTTTGTATTTTACACGAAAGTCCTTGTGTTTTGATAAAATCAACCCGCAGTCCGGATTTAAGTAACACCCAAACCGTTATTTTACATTTTTTGAAAATCCCCTTGATGTTTGAGGTAGTTCATCCGTGGATCATATCTAAGTCAAACAAATGCTTTTTTAAGTCATCCATATCTTTTAAACCGTAACTCCGATTTGAACATGCTATATATGAAATTTGATTAGAAAAATATGAAGAATACGAATATGAGATTATTTTTACCTGTTAAGTATTTTAAATATTATTTTAGAATATATTTAAGTCAAACAAATAATTTTCTAAATTATCCATATCTTTAAAACCGTAACTTCAATTTTAACATATTATATATGAAATTTTATTAGAAAAATGTGTGAAATCTAAATATTTTGTTAATTTTACCTGTTAAATATTTTTTAAATATTGTTTTGGAAGCAAACTTATAATTTATAGCGCAAGATCCGTTTTTCTTTAATACCGGCGGCGATCCGGATTGCAAATAAACACCCCACTATAACCATATTGGAAAAGAAAACATCGATAACTACACATACATACCTATGAAAAATGTCGCAGGGAAAACAACAGATTTCTCATCGCGGGAGTGAGAGAAAGCGAGAGAGAGAGAGAGAGAGAGAGAGAGAGAGGAGAGGGAGAGAGACGCCTTAGGATTAACCATGTTCAAACACGTTTTTTTTTGTGTGAACACCAAGGCCATCGCCGGCGAGGGTGAGAATGAGGATAAGCGGCAACACAAATATAATGCCTCGCAAAAATAAAGAAGATGGACCTATTATGGTCTTGAGTGATGGTTGTTGGGTTAAGAGCATGTGTTATCTTTTCTCTCCCGTTGCAACGCACATACTCTTTTGCTAGTAATAACAAAGGGGCTATTGCTTCTGGAGGTACGTCATCAAAATTGTCCCCAAAATTTCAAAAAATTACGCTTCACACAGGGGAATCCCCGCCTGGGACGGCCTGTGCAGTAGGATTTTTCTATACTGCGCTCTACGCACCGGGGAAGAACCAACGCGCCTCTTTGGGCCGGCCCATGTCCGGGTGGTCTGTTTTTTAAATTTTGATTTAAATTTTACGTTTTCCATTTTCGTCTTCTTTTCTACTTTAAATAATTTGGGAGTTCAAAAAAGTTTAAAAATAAAAAAGATTATTTTGAAATAATTTTTTTAATAATTCATAAATGTTTGTCAATTCAGAAAATAGAAAATGTTCGCATATTCAAAAGATGTTTGTAATTTTGAAAACAAATGTTGGGGAAATAAAAAAATGTTCATTATTTTTTATAAAGGTCATGTATTAATAAATGTTAATGAAATTGAACAAAATTTCACTAATTCAAAAAATGTTCATGAATTGAAAAATATCCTAAAGTTCCAAAAATTCTGCGTGACTTACAAAATAGTTTACTGATTCATAAAATGTTCGCTGATTCAAAAAATGATCATGCATTTCAAAAAATATTTGTTAAATCAAAAGAATGTTCCTGAATTTCAAAAATTGTCCCACCAATTTCCAAAATATGTTTTCCGATTCTAGAAATGTTTGCCTATTAAAGAAAAATGTTTAAGATATGTTCACACTTTTAAAAAAATGGTTGCAAACAGTATAAAATGTCATGAATTCAAAAAATGTCCATGATTTTAGAATATGTTTGAAAATCTGTAAATATGTTCATGAATTTGAAAATGTTCATGAATTCAGATATGTTCATGATTTCACAAAATAAAAGTAGTGTATCTCGGTGATGCAAGAAAATGTGGTCATGGCCATTGGAGATTATGAAATTTTTTCTCCCGCTGCAACGCACCAGCCGTTTTGCTTGCTTTTTTTATAATGAAAATCGGAAGGGTGGCCCTTCTTGCATAAAAAATGGATAAGCTGGGTACGGGTACGGGAAGGCAATACCCATACCCATGTACTCGCCTACCCGCATATTAGTACATCTTACAGTTAGGTCCCCTCTGTCATTCACTAAAAAAATGGAAAAACCTGGCCTGACCCAACCACAACCCACACACAAAATCCCCTCACATTCCCATCGCTCCTTCACACTCACAAAACACAAACCCCATCTTCCCGTCCCGCCTCGGCTGAAATGCTTAATATACATGATGAAATGTTGTGTTTTAGATACTAAAATGCTAAAATTATACATGGTAAAATGTGAATTGAAAGGTGACCGAGATGGATATTTATTCCTGCGGGTATTACTCGCACCCGACCGGTACGGGTATGTGAACAATATGAAACCCGAGGTATGGGTACGGGTACGAGTTTGGGTGAAAAATATTGGGACGAATACTGGTTTGGGCGAGCATTACCAGCACCCAAACCCTGCAAATGCCATGTTGATGTGCATCCCTAATTGATTCAGAGGCCAGGAAGTGAAATCCCCCCCCCCCTTGGTGGTGAGAGCACTCATCAAAAATAGAATTTTGGTACTCATAAATAAATTTCTTTGAGGCCCATGCTTGATGTGTGGTGGGGCTACACAAGATTAAAAAAAAAATCTTGGTACTCATATTTAAAAAGGCTATGTGCATCCTTAGTTGGCGCAGAGGTCGGGAGAAGTGAAATTCTCTCCCAAATTTTAAGCAAACAGAGTCTTAGCTCAGTGGTTAGACTTGCAGTTGTGCAACCTGACCATTTGTGTTCAATTTCTAGAATTGACACGTGATGCACGGGAGGTTTCCAGCATTTATTGATGATCAAGATTGATGTGTGATGTGACCACTCGTCAAGATAAAACTTGGTACACAAAAAAAATCTTTGAGGATCAGGCTTAATGTGTGGTGGGACTACACTTTAAGATAAAAATCTTGATACTCATACAAAAAAGGTTGTATGCATTCCTAGGTGGTGCAGAGGTCGGGAAGTGAAATTCTTTTCTAAATTTTAGGAGACAGAGCCTTGGTTCAGTGGTTAGGATTCTGGTGCAGCATGACCATCCGGATTCAATTCCTAGAATTAATTGAGGTGATGCACAAGTGTTTTACCGAAAAAGGGTTTCCCCCTGCTTTGTATTCCAAAGCAAACCACCATGATACATAATGCAATGCTGGGGCGAGCAGCACATCAAGCCCAAAGAAAAAGAAAAAGAAATAAATGCCAACAACATCAGCTCGAGAAAGCGCGGCAGACCCACGACCGCTGCGCCCTCCGGATACAAACCACCACAGCCCGAGGCT